AAAAGGGTATCATTATGGACAACTCACTGGTGGAATTCTGATTACACCACGCACAAGGAATGGAAGTCCCTATTCGTAGGAAAGCACTTTTTTCAGGAAAGAACTCCCAGCCATCACCAGAAACGAAAAAGAAACTGCTTTTCCATGGTTTGTGCTTAAGGGGAATTCCAGAGACAAGAATTCTGTCCCGTGGGGAGAAGTACAGCCAGTCACCCCTTTTGGGAATGTAGCAATGAAGAAACTCTTGGATAGTGAGCGAGGTATTACAACAAGCTCGCCACAAAACTAAACAACCCATCATTGTTTTCCAGGCATTCGGGGAGAGTTGAGTCGGAGCAAGATTAAGGTGACGCAACAGTTCCCTAATAAAAAGAGGGATTGGAAAACGCAATCCGGCAATGAAAGCAGACTCATAGAAACAAATCTCAATTGGGTAAAAGGAGGACGCTCTATCATCAAGTGAAGGAAGTCTGAGAGTAACACTGTCTGGAATTGAATAAGTTTGCCTGATCCAATCCAGATCCTGTGAAGTAAGGGAGCCTGCTATATCCTGTACCAGATGTGTCTCTGACGAAGCCGAATCAGACTGGCGGTGTTCCTCGTCTGATATAGTGTTAGATTCTGGGTAAAACATGCTGGCAGTAACACATGCTACTGTATGCAAGAGCCTAGCTTCACAGTGACCTATAAAATTTTCTAACTTTGGTCTTGGTATACTGAGTTGGAGGAAAAAGCAACAACGAATTAAATAGAAGCAGGAAGAAAACGAGGGCATGGAACTTACCACATCACTACGACTGGCACTACCTGGCTTTCTGGATAATGGAAGTAATTTGAATGAATTTTACTCGAACCATCTCGGTTTATAGCAGAAGAACGTAAACAGATAAGGAAAGTATTTCTGGTGGAATTCTAATAGAAATCTGTTTCGTGAGGGACAAGCAGCTCTCAGCGGGCTATTTTGCGGGCTATTTTACTTTTACAAGGTAGAATAGGATTTGGAGTTCGAATAGGACAACCACACTGGCACCCCTGCATGAGTTACCTATGTGCCAAAAGGTAGGCTGCCAGCATAGCAGCTTGCCATATATACAAACTGTCAATGTGGCACTACGATCCTGCTAATGAGGCACTACGACAAAAATTTCAAAGGCAACTACGGTCCTACAAAAAAAAAATAGGAAAACAAAAAAATTTTCCTGGGGGCGCTGCCCCCTAGACCCCCGCGAGCTGACCGAGCAGCTCGACCCCCTACTATATCCGCAAAGTGGCAATCTAAGTGAAGTTAATGGATAAGGCTCTACTATTTCATAATCAAACCAACTTATTGTAGAAATACAGGGTGAACGGTTCTACAATTCCAGCTATTTGTTATTATGTCATATTTGGGAATTAACGGTCCGGTGGTTTGACAAGCAATCCTCCGAAATGGGGGGCAACTGATGATTATAATTTAATTACCTGTGGATAGGGGAAGATCGTTAAAGTAACGCGCTATCTCATAAGATTGAGATAGGCTCTACAGACTAAGATAAGGACTACGACTAAGATAAGGGTTACAGATTACGATAAGAATTGCAGAATACGATAAGGATTAGGCCAACAGATTATGATAAGGATTAAGGACGACGTGGACGCTACGTAACATTCTGACCCAAGTCCTATAAATAGGGAGGGCTAATCGACGTTCGGAGGTAGGCAAAAAACCCTAACTCAATATCTCGATTTCTCCAGAGAGATTATCATTCACACTGACTTGTTCGTCGGAGCCTACTCCACCGGTAACACACCGGCGTTTGTAGGATCACTTTTTCTTCTCTTTATTCAGGAAGTTAGATCAGATCCGGGTTGCGCAGAATCCATCTTCAACAGGTATTATCTATACACCATTACGTAGACCTAATTTTATAATAGTCTTCGTATTGCAGTCACTTTTATGATCGACTATATATACATATATATATTTATGTAGGTTTCATATGTCCAATCTATTGTAACCAGTGGATATTGAATATGGACTTTTGTCAAAAGTCTCAGTGTTGCATCATTTTACAAGAGAGTATATGAAATATATACGGAGTGTATATATATATATATATATATATATATATGTATGTACTCTGTAATTCAAGTTTTTGTTGATAATAGTCTTGGTATTGCAGTCACTTTTATGATCGACTATATATGCGTACATATATACATATATATATATTTATGTAGGTTTCATATGTCCAATCTATTATAACCAATGGATGTTGAATATGGACTTTTGTCAAAAGTCTCAGTGTTGCATCATTTTTACAAGAGAGTATATGAAATATATACGGAGTATATATATATATATGTATGTATGTATGTATGTATGTACTCTATAATTCAAGTTTTTGTTGATATGTCAAAACCTGAACCAGAGATGGTGGAATAATCTGAAGAGCTGTAAGATTGAGTGTATTACAGGATCAATGGCCTGCTAACATCAATAGACCTAATTTATTCAGTTCTATCATGTCTTTTCTCATATTGCTTCTTCAGTTTCACATACATGGTTGAAAAAGTTCCATTTGAAGTTGTTGCTTGTTCAGGTTATATACATATAGAATCAATTTTCTGTTTCAGATTTTTTTTTTTTTTTTTTTTTTTTTTTTTTTTTTTCTATTAATTCATTTGCTAACCATAGTTTTTTACATGTTTCTGAATGTCTAATGGGGTTTTAGTATATGAAATGGGATGATTTGCACTCTTTGAATGGTTTTCTTATGTGTGACTTTTGACAGACAAAATGGAAAATTACATGGAGAATAACATATCCGATATGGAGTTTTATCTTTCATTGCAAACTAGGAATGCCAACCTCGATTTAGACTTGTTGAACGCAAAAGAAGAGTCTAGATCACTTCGACAAGAACGTCGGCAATTGGAAAAAACATTTGAGATTGTGGAATCCAAAGAGGGAGTTCTTCGACAACAAACAATCAAGGTATTGTCTGATGGGAAAAGGCTGCTAGAGGAAGCTATTCTAGTAAACAATAATCTTATTGATCAACTTAAGCTTGAAATTAGTAACAATAAATTTAAAATGCAAAATTAAAAAGCAAATATAATTACACGGATTCAAAATGGTAGTAGGGATATTAAATTTATTGTTTCTTCTATAACGGATTTATTTTTTATTTCAAAATTTAAAATTTGGTGGATTCCACAAGTAGCCGAACAATTACAAGAAAATTTTAAATTATCATATTTTATAGAAGGTTTCATTAGTAGGAATGTATTACATGTTATGCAAAATATTGGGGGAAAAATTAATGTTGAAGTTTCTCAAAACCCTACTCGGGTCGTTGTCACTGTATACCCGAATTCAATGGTGATTGACGAAGTTGTAAATTAATTTTAATATATTATATTATATATATATATATATATATATATATATATATATATATATATTGTTATTAGTTTGTTTTATTTTTCGTTGGTATGATTTAATTATTATAAATTTTTATGTATTTTGAAAATAATGTAAAAGTTAAATGCTTGGGAGTGATTTATTTTGGTAATATTTTTTTTTAATATGTAACTTGTAATCAAATTAATGTTTCTATGATTCTTTTATTTTGGGACAAGTTTTATGATGATGAAGTGGAGACCTAGTGTAAGCGAAACATACAAACTTGACATTCAACTGGATGAATACCATTAGAGAAGCACAAGAAAGATTTAGGAGTCTTTTTCTTTGTCTTTCATTTTTGTGGAGATGGAAAATGAATTTTTATCTCCAAGGGGGGAGAAAAAATAAACCGAAAGGAATGAAAAAAAGTAAAAAGAATTTTAGAAGAAAAAAGAAAGGAAAAACAAGACACCTTTCTTATTCCAAAATCAGCCTCTAAGGACCAAAAGGCAAAAGAGCTCAAAAAATTATGAGTGCACGTATCTTATTGCCACAGCAATTAGCCATTTAACAAAATCATATATATTTTAATTGGAATCCACTTTATAGATTATGAACTGAGAAAAATAATAATATATTTTTACTTAATTTTGTATTTATCCGGCTTGATTGGCTTTTGGTCCCTCAGAAAGATGCTTGTAACATAAATTGTAACACTGTTTATGTTAAATCAACAAGCCTGTGGTTGGTATAAGCTCCTACTTCTCAAAAGGAGGTTAGAGATTCGAACCTCAGCGGAGCGTGTGCGAGTTCCAATTAAGAAAAAAAAAACATTATTTATGTTAAATTCTCTCTTTTGCTAGGGAAAAGTATTAGAGCAAGTAAAAAGATTAAAAAAAATTAAAATTAAAATTTATAGTGAAAATGATAGTTAAAACATTAAAGATGGCGTAATAATGACGTTAAAAAATAAAAATAAAAAATAGAGGGCAATTGTTGAAATTGGGAATGCGCATATTCAAATGCCATCAAAGCCACATTTAAAAGAAAAATTACAAATAAGTCCTTTTAAATTATATAAATGTATAAAAACTTAATATGTTAGTTCAATGATAGGTCTCGATGCTCTTATATTTCTAAAAGTAGAATTTGTTAATAATATTTCATAGTTAAAACATACAATAGCTGGATCTGTCACACACATACATATATATATATATATATATATATATATATATATATATGAATTAAAAAGCAATTATGCAACCCTGTGTTAGGTTTTGAATATGCTAATATCAAACAAGGTGTGTGGTCCCCCAGACCAAGAAATACAGACCAGGAGTGCCTCATCTGGATAAGAACATCTATCAGAAATAGCAAGCACCATTCTGCTTTTAAATTCTGATACACAATTTTTGCTGTCACTCCAGACCTTGGAAATCAGATGCTCACTGTTATGCATCAATTGCGCCGAACAACCATGGAATTACTGCAAGACCTGGAGGATATATATATATATATATGATACAAGTAAGAAAGATGATGAGGAGCAATGACCTGAAACTAATTTTTTTTTTTTTTTAACAAAATCATCAAAGTGAACCTAAACAAATTTATATGAACTTCAAATTTTCCATTTTATAAACAGGAATTGATCAAGGTATTCAAATATATTCCATACAGGCAAACAACCAAACATTTTGTAACGGAAACCCACCCACATATACTCGTCAATAACTAGTTTGAGCGTTAGTAATGTACAAACATATCAGAAATAACCCTAATTGTTAAATTAAACCTTTTTCCTTTCATCTTCGTGTGATATCTTTTCATGTTATAACAACAGAAAAATCAAACGGTTTTCACTTGGGAACATGACGAACCAAGTGTCAGATATTTCCTAATTATCTGCATCGTCTTCAGTATCCTGCAAAAGAACTCCTCTCACTTTTGCCCTGCCAAATAATATCCTTAGGTATTAGAATGAAAATATATATATTTGAGATGGCAAAGAATTAGGGAATGTTTTATAACCTGCGATATGCTGGTACAACACGCTTGTTCACTTTCGTTGAACCTATACCTTGGGTTGCTGTCTTGTCTGCAGTTGGAAACACAGAAATTTTTATTGTTTCAGATTGGGATTAACCTATGGTCAGGATGGTTAGAATCCAATAACTTAACTCGAAGCCAACTCGAAGCCATCCCTGACCTGGTTGTATATATATAACCATTACATGAGCTGGTGATGCAAAGTGTGCTCACTTACAAGAGTGCTTACAAGCTGAAACTTTGTGCGTTCACATACACAGACACACTAAGTAAACTAAATCTTATCCCGGGATGGACAAGCCAATTAGGTTAAGACCCAACACCATTCCGTGCCAAAGAATGGAATACCCCGTCCCCTCTTCCCTTTTTTTCTCTTCCCTATAACCCGAGAGAGATCATAACTATAAGATATTTCCTAAAATTTGTAATTCCCAAGAGGAGAACTTAGTTCTTTTCAGAGTGATGGAAATAGTATGATATGTAATTTGTCAGGGTTTGAGCCTCAGTGGAGGCATGTGTGTGTGAGTACCAAGAAAAAAAAATTAGACTTTGTGCTGAATTTGAAAGTTCCTGAATAAAAAATAAAATAATAAAAATAAAAACTCCCAGGCTTAGGACTGGGTTGGATGGGGAGGTTCACATCTCACATTTTTAAATAAGGTTAATAACTGAGTAACTCAGAAAATCCCTCTCTTTCCTCTTCTTTTCCCGTGATATACACCCAATTGAGTAGATGCATGGATGAAACTCACCGGGTTGGGTTAGCTTGGAGGTCAACCCCCTCAACCCGAGCTACAACATCCTTTACTGAGCCCAACCCCACCAAACCTCCAGCTGCAACTGTCTCAACCTGAGGTCAAAAAATTGTTCCCCTGTTGGGATTCTGTTGCTAGAATCTCTTTTACCCTTTTTCTTATTATTTTTTTATTTTTATATTTTTATTTTTTGCGTGTTTTATTTTCATCCTGTGGTTGTCGTCTTCTTGTTCATTATTCTTTGAAAATGGGGAGAAAAAAAAAATTGAGAAAAAAAAAAAGACATGGTCTGAGAATGAAAAAAAAAAAACCCTTAAAGAATAGGAAAGGAAGAACAAAAATTAATCGAAAGAGAATTTTTTAATTAGAAATCGAAATAAGAATTAAAAGTAAAAAGGGATAATTACATTGACCTCCCTTAAAGTTTCGTCAACCTACACTGACCTCCCCTCTTGTTTGCCATATTACACTTACCTCCCTCGAGGTTTGTATATAAATAACATAGAGTTCCCCTCCTTTAACGGAAAATACTGTTTTTGACGGAAAATGATTATGTCAGCAATTTTTTATTTATCAAATTTCCATTTTACCCTTGTGAGCTTTGGTTTGGGTGACCATCATCTTCACCGAAACCGACGAGCTTCAGTTCAATATAAATCCACATCTCTCTCTTATAAATTGGGTGGGGACGGTTTGATCAGAGAACTCTGCAATGGGTTTCAATTGTTGATGGACGGTGATAAAGGGGTCATCACGTTTGAGAGCCTCAAGAGGAACTCTGCCCTGTTGGGTTTGCAGGACTTGACAAATGGTGATCTGATGAGTATGTTGAAAGAAGGTGATTTTGACGGTGATGGAGCCCTCAATCAGATGGAGTTCTGCGTTCTCATCTTCAGATTAAACCCTGATTTGATGGTCAATCTGAATTTTTGTTAGAAGAAGCTCTTCAACAGGAATTCAAACATTATTGTTGATTTTCTTTACTAATTTCTCTCTTGTTTACATATTAATCTCTTACTTATTCAATTGTTGTTGTTGGGTTCCAAAGTATACAGAAAATTAAAGAAATAAATGAATCATTGGGCATCGCTTGATTAATTATTGTCTCTGTGTCCAAGTTTTTTTTCCTTCCACATGGTCAAATCATGGACTCATAAAATCGACAATGAGGTTTCTAGAATAATGGGTTGTTAACAGGTATCAACAAAGGAAAGAATCATCCTTTTCATCAACAACTTCCCATTGAGACAACTAGGACTTTAGGGCTCACCATAGCTTAATATTTGTGTGTGACTCTGCGGTTCTTATCTGGTAAGAAGTTTAAAACAAAAGTTCCAAAACTCAGTAAGTTGCTCTTTCACTAGGCCAGGTGGCCCAGGTCACTTTAATTGGTGTTCAACACATTACCTTTTCTAAACCAAAATTCCCATCTTTGCTGATACTCGAAGCTCCCAATTATTACTGTAAATGGATTGTTTTTGTACCATATGCCAAGGTACCGGAACTTCGCAGAGCTATACACATGTAAGGTGAACTTCTCAGTATATATATGTGGATTTATATATATATATATGAAGTCGTAGAGCGGTCGCCACTGTGGCTTTCACCAGATTGTACTGGGTTCATCTCCGCACCGTGATGTTATTGTAAAGAGAGAGAGTGGACAAAGGGTATATTAGTAATTGTACTCTTTCCATTAACGCCATCCATCTTATTTGCATGTTAGGGGAGGTGAGTGTAATATGACAAATAAGAGGAGAGGTCAATGTAGGTTGACGAAACCTTAGAGGAGGTCAGTGTAATTATCCCAAGTAAAAAAGCATAAGAGAGAGAGAGAGCTACTCTCAACCTGTTGAGATGTAATGCATAATCGAAGAAAGATGACTAAGACTTCAATATCCTATATGTAGAAAATGAACTACCGAAAGACCAATGCTGCAACTATATCTGGAGTGGCAGAGAAGGGACAGAAAACAACGTGAAGAAATTATGTGAGTTTTTATGAGGAAAAGAGATCTCATACCAAATACACTTGTCGTACCCCCTCTTTCAGAAACTAATTAGATGTCTAAACCCCAAGTTAAAAAGAAAAAAACAAACCAATCATAGGGTTTATTAGCTATATAGGAGTCTCTACACCTCTCTCTCTCTCTCTCTCACACACACACACACACACAACACAACCAGCATCCACTTTACAGCTATCTGGAATGACTACCCATTTTTTTAACTAAAAGGGTAAACACTACATGTGAAAAAGTATAAAATGCACACCTGGAGAATCTTCCAAGGAAGTAACCAATAAGGTATCTGAGAACGCTTTGTCATTCATCTTCTGTGACTTCTGCCTTTTTGAGTATATAAATGTATCAAGTTGCCTCTGGATACTTTCATTCTTTTCCTGACAAATAGGAGGAAATTGCACAAAAACGAATAAATTGGTGATCATTACATAAAGAAGGAGCATGCATAGCAAATTCACTATATCTGGCTATAATAACCCATAACCAAAGAATCTCTCTTTATTTTTACGTTCCAGCAAGTGGCCGAGTTTGAGAAGAAAGGAGGTAAGGGTAATCGAATAAGGCATTACTGGTTAGGGAGGGAGGAAAGGGGTAAGGCTTTATTAACCAACATAACCCCATAAAATCCCCGCTGCAATGTTCATAATAAGGTTAATTCTAACACCCCAAAAAAGCGGGACCAGCACCGGGTAAAGGCCTTATTTTATTTTATTTTTGAGGTTTCCCACTGAATAAGATAAGCGTAGAAGGGCACAACTAGCAAACAATATTTTGAGTCACGGTCGTAACTACCAACACAGAGCACACCATCTTGAAGTCAGTAATTGTAGTAGGCAAATCCCTCACACGATGCCTGCACAACTCTGCTAGAGACCAAGGCTGCAAACCATACAACAAGTTGAACAACTTGTCGTCCTTCGACATGTTCTTGATAACAACTTGTCTTCCTTCGACATGTTCCTGATAACAACTTGTCTTCCTTTGACATGTTCCTGATGTCCAACTTCAAGATACTGAATTCCTTCACATAATCTTGCATTGTGCTTGCATATTTAAGGTATTTAAGTATTCCCTTGCAACCCAAGCGGCAAGAACTAATCTTTGGCCCAATGGTATAACCTCCCTATCCTCAAAAGAATAGGGGAGGGGTTCAAGCCCTGGTGGGAACAAAAGGGTGTGTGTGTTTGCTTTACCATTCAAAACACACACACACACACACATAAATAATAATAATAATAATCTTTCAATTCTTTCTTAACACATGTTTCTATCCGAGGCCTGGCAACATCCTCAGTCTGGTTCACCACTATAACTTGGCTTCACCAGAGAGATACCTGCTTGTTATGATCACCCACTTGCAATCTGGACCACAGAGCCTTAAAGTATTGTCCCACAAAAATTTCTCAAGTTCCTTGAATTCCGCATTAGAAATTCCTTGAAGCCTTAAAATAGACACGGAATCAAATTTGACAATTCATCAGAAGAGTGTCATCATGCACAGAATGCACAATGTAGGAGACAGATTGGTACAATTTCGACACACTTGGTACTGGTTGACATTAAAGAAGATTTATCCATCTGCATATGCAAATAAACTTGGGGTCACTACAGTTAATGTGCACCGTTAGCAGCAAGTAAATATACCTGTTCAGATGATATCACTTCTGTCAACTGATAACAGCGCTCTTGCTCTGAAGACAAATCAAGGATGCAAAGAAAGTTAGTTCTCAACGTAATGCTATTCCAATCTACTTAACATAATGAACTAGGGATGACAAAAATAAATAAATAATAAAAATAAAAAATAAGGGTATACTTGCAAGTCATTACAAATAGGGTCCACGAAAAGACCTTTTTGTGCTTGACATAATAGACGTGGATACATACGCTAGTAACATTTATGGTAGTTAAGCTTCACTGCTGTCAGTTAGGAAGGAAATGTGTGCTTATACATATTTATAGAGTATACAACTGTCCCAGTAACCAAATCAAATCATTTAAATATCCTAGCACAGTTTCCAGAAAATGGAAAATCAACTTAGTGCCCGTCCCTTAAAAATGTATAAATAAAATAAAACCTTAAAAAAGAAAGAAACTCAAAATCCAGGCATCAATTTTGACACCCAATCCCTCCTTTCGACCAATATCGGCAAAATCTCAGATTGAAGTATATTCTTCCTCCATTCCAAAGTACCAAAAACATCCCTATTCCATTTCTTGATATCTTCCTTAAGAACTTCAACTTACACGCAAGGGCAAAACTTGGAGAACCGTTCACAACATAACCTCCCCCCCAAGACCGAACCATCTCCATAAATCCTTCTGCTTTAAGCCACATATTCTCAAATCTGAAAGGATAGCTCCTTTTCCTCAACCCACCACAATCCAGAACCGGAGAAACATGATCAGAAGTAAGCCATGACAAAGCCGCCAAAACAACATCCGGAAACTTGTCCTCCCAATCCCATGACACAAGGAATCTATCCAGACGAGAGAGAGTAGGAACCTCTCTACCACTGGACCACGTAAAGGATGCTCCCTCCAAACGCAAATCAATCAAATGATTGTCATTGATGGACTTAGAAAACTACTCCATTGCCAAAGTCCATCTACCCTCGTAGGCTTTTCCATAGGAGAACGGATAACATTAAAGTCCCCACCAACGCACCAAGGGAAATACCACTTCTCCGAACAGAAAGAAGTTCCTCCCACAACTGGATGCGCACGACATCATCGTTGGGCCCATAAACACCCGAAAACAACCAATGAAAACCATCCTCCACCATAGAAAAAGCGCAAGACACTGAGAAGCCATCAACCCAAGCATCCAACTTAGAGACCCATCTTTTGTCCCAAATAATAAGAATGCCCCCCGAAGCACCGGAAGCATCCAAAGCAACCCAATCCACAAATCTCCTTCCCCAAAGGCTTTTAATGACCTTATCTGAAACCGACGCAAGTTTCGTTTCCTGCAAACACACAACATGCGCACCCCACTTGCGAATCCCCAGCTTCACCACCTTCCTTTTATTCAGATCATTTAGACCGCGGACATTCCAAGAAAGAATGCGGAACTTCATGAGGAAACAATAGTGTTCTCCTTCCCCCTCCTCCTTCCTCTCCTCCTCTCCCTCGATCCCCACTTTTCCCATCATAATTAACATAGGAAATAAGATTCCTCACCTCCCTCTCCCCCTTTCTGCAGGAGTCCTCCCCTTATCTCCAGCATTTTGGTTCGAATCAATTTCCTGAAACATGCTCAATGCCCGACATTGATCACCCCCAAAGAAGACCCTGACAAGATTGCCCACACAGCCAAGGAAGTTGTAATGGATGAGGCAAATTGTGCATCTGCAGCTATAGTGTCTAGTGAATTTCAAGCTCCCAATGAGTCTGGAGGTGTTCCTAATAAGACATTGACTAGTGCAGAAGGGGATGATAATGGGAAGCTGTTCAACAGATTCAGATATCCCAGGAGGAGCAGTGCCTGCCAGATGTTCAACAGAATGCTTCTCCGAGCAGGGATGCTGAAATGATCACTACTGGGAAAAAGAAGAAGAACAAGGCGACCAAGGATACTACTTCATCTTCGAAGGAGTGTCAAGTCGAGGAGTGTTCCCATTTGAGTAGTTAACATGAATGAAGCTCAGTATCTTGCTATTCAGGTTGTTCCAGTGGATGCTAATGATGCTATTGTGTCTACTGGTAATCCTGTTATGGTGCTGCTGAGATTCAGACTGCAAATACATTCATGTTGGTAGAGACTAATAAGGAAGATGATCCTCTGTCTGAAATAGAGAATTCTGTTAAATTGTCTACAAAGAGAAAAGGAGAAAACAAGAAGAAGATGGATAAAGGAGAGGTAGTCCAAGCTCAGCAGATTCCTAGAGGTATGTTGGCCATGAGTGGCCATACTACAATTGTTTGAATGTTAGGTTGCTGGAATATGAGGGTCTGAATAGATCCCATATGCAAAAGGAGGCTAGAAATTGGCTTCTGTCTAATTCTCTTGGTATGATAGTTTTGCTTGAAACTAGAGATAGAGAAATAAATATTGTTTTGATCTCCAAAAGAATAAATGCTAGGTGGAAACGGGGGAATAATTACAATTGCAATCCTCCTGGCGAAATCTGGTATGGATGGAACCCTAGAAGGTTGGATGTTTAGCTGTTAGATGCCACTTCCCATTGTTTGCTCCTTAGGGTGCAAGTGGTTGGTTCTCACATAGTATTTTATGTTTCTCTTATTTATGCTGCAAACACAGTTGGGGAGAGGACTTTGTGTGATCACCTGTGTGGGCGGGTGTGATGTGGACGGGTGCGAGACACTGGACGAGATACCACACTGGCAAGCTACAGGGCATCATGATCCCACATCGCCTGGGGAATGTGAAGTGCTATATGTAAGGTTCAACACCCATGACACAACGCATTTTAAAGCCATAATGGCCGTGAACCCATCAAAACTCTAAAGTTAAGTGTGCTTACACTGAAGTATTACCAAGATGGGTGACCTCTTAGGAAGTCTGTGGTCCGGGAGAGCCAAAAACAAACAATATTGTGTTGAGGTAGGGTGAGGGTTGTTACAAATGATATCAGAGCCAGAGCCCAGCCAGAAGTGTGGCCAATGAGAACGTTGGCCCCCACGAGGGGTGATTGTGACTACCTCTGTGGGCAGGTGTGATGTGGGCGGGTGCGAGACATTGGACGAGCTACCACATTGGCAAGATACACTGGGGGTGTCATTATCCCACATTGCCTGGGAAGGTGAAGTGCCATATGTAAGGTTCAACACTATTCTATCACACAACGCACTTTAAAGTCGTGATGGCCGTGAACACATCAGAACTCCAAAGTTAAGCGTGCTTACTGTGGAGTAGTACCAGGATGGGTGACGTCCTGGAAAGTCTCTGGTCCAGGGAAGCCAAAAGCGGACAATATTGTGTCTAGGTAGGGTGAGGGCTATTACACTTTGTGGAGCTCTATTGCTAGGTATGTTACTATGGTGCAGGGTCCTTGGTTAACTTAGAGTGATTGGAACTGTGTTAGAGGCCATGGTGCAGCTTGATGAGTTCAATGAGGTTATTGATGAGGTTGTCCTGTCTGATGTTCCTATCTTGAATAGGGGTGGACTTGGACAAATAAGCAAGGTATCATGTTTTAGAATCCGTGCAAAGCTAGATAGAGGTATTGCTAATGCTAGTTGGTTTTCTTTTTTCAACACTCAAAGATTTTCTTATTTGCTGCTCGAACTTCTGATTATGGATTGGTGATTATTATCTATCCAAATGTGGGCAGCAAGCCTAAACATTTCGGGTTTTTGTAAGTGTGGAGATGCCAAGAGGGGGTGTCTGAAGTGGTGAGGCAGGCCTGGAATTCTGATGTGGTTGGTGATGCTATTTCTAAATTTACCTTTCAAGTTTTAGAACATTTCTTGTAGAATACTAGTGTCATGGGTTCTTGTCCTGCATCTTATAAAGGCGGGTAGGCAGCACCACTTCATAGCTCAAATGGCAAGCATCTGGCCCGTTACAAGTGGTATTAGAGCAGGACCAGTCACATATCCGCCATCCGGTGTCATGCCAAACGCCTATACGAAGGTTTCTTGGTCAATACTAGTACCCGCCATTAGGGAGGACGGATAGGTAGGGTGGTCTAACCGTGAAGAGGGTGTCGTAGGTTCAGGTAGGGGAGAATGTCATGGGTTCTTATCCCACACCTGATAAGGATGGGATGGGTCTTGCCCTTCTAAGGGTGGGTAGGCAACACCACATAATAGCTTAAGCTTTTGAGTCGGATGGCAAGCGCCTAGCTTCCATCATTCAATCAACATAAACCTTGTTATGTCAGATACCCTAAAAGGAAATATAAGAATTAAAGAAAAAAGGGAAAAAGTAAAATAGAAACAAAAACATAAAACCAAAATCAGCACCCTATTAAACATAGTGCATGCTCCTGACCAAGGACCATGGTCGTATGTCGTGGATGCTTAAAATCCATTTGGAGCACAAGGAACTAATAAAAATCAGTTCTCTACTTAGTCGATGAATTCTAAAATAACTTAAAGAAACAAGCTTTTTTCTGATATAATTTAAAGATTTAAGTAGCAAACAGGTTTTATATGCATCCACTCCTTTTTAGCAACTACTTGAACAGTGTCATTAAATGGTAACCAAGTGGATATTGTGTAAGGAATTGCTTGAGAATTAATTACTTTCATGGGATAGTGACTAGGATTAGCAAGAGTGTCCATAGCAAGCAATATTATTATAACAAGATGATTCTAAAGGGTTAGCCTAGAACAAGAGGCCCCCACCACTACGGGATCTGTGGAGGGTTTTGATGTACGCAGCCTTACCTCCGTATACAAAGAGGTTGTTTCCTGTTTTGTATCGTGACCTCCAGGTCACAATGGAGCAAACTTACTGTCCTTACCGTTGCACCTAGGCCCACCCTCAAGATGATTTTTGAACAATATATTAATTGAAGAAGATAACAATAGAAGGAACCACAATTTAATTTTCAAAACCTGAAGACATTCATTTTTTTATCTAGATGGCAAAAGAAGGAAAAAAGATTTCCTATTAAGACAGGAATCCAACCATTTATGAGTAAACTATGCATGCTTTTGAATGCTTTGTAGAGCTCCAGCGAAAGATTCTTTATTGCCTCACTAGCGGCAACATCCACAAGTTTACCAAGAGAAATAGAGATCAGTGGCATTCCTTTTGATTTCTGAGCACTTAATTTTGCATATGCAGCACCTGAAATACAAAAAACACCTAAATTATAATTACATCCATCAAATAATTTCCTTCCATATGTTCCGAGACTGGGATGTGTTTGTTGAACCAATAATTCACATTCCAAAAGTCAATTTAGAAAATAAGATGCATAAAAAGACGAACTATCAGCATTTATAAAGTATGAAAATTTTGAAGGACATCATACAGCACATTATTCATTCACATTCAGAATCACATATTTGCATTTATTAATTTACAATCTAATAGGAAGAAGCACATTTTAAAAAGAAATCACTTTTTTGATCACATGCATGTATCTTTGTGCACCAGAATGGCTTAAACTTATATCAAGGAGGGCATTGATTAAGTTGGATTTCAAACGCTTGGCTCTATTAACACCCTTGCAAAGAACCCCCTTCAACTATTTTTTTGACGAAAAACCCCCTCAAGTATATCAAACGTGGCAAATACCCCTTGCCATTGAAATTCCATAAAAAAGAGAATCAAACTAAGTCACATGCAGCGTAAATGACACAGATTGTATTATAGGTCAATTTACCCTTTTATGTTGACGGTAGTGCAATTGATCCTAATTTAAAAGGTGGATCCCTTTTTATGACCTGATTAAAATTAAATGGTTGTTTCTACCCAATTATATATTACCCTTATTCTGACCAAACTCTCTCTCTCTCTCTCTCTCTCCATATCTCAGTTTGTAGATTGTGACTCGGAAGAAAAAGTTGAAAAACTCAACCCATTTGTTCCCAATCTTCTTTGTCATTCCTTGTTCTATCTCCAATCTTCTGTCCCCAAGAAAACCCAACCAATCAGTTCCCAATCTTGATCTACTAGCTGACCACCATAGCCACTCCACCTCCAGAATTGCTAACCTCCGTTGCCTCAAGCACCAATTCACTTTCACAACCAACAACCACCTCATTCACCACTGACTCACCTCCACCATGCATCACTCCTTGCAAACCCAAAACATGTACTTCAGTGGAACAAAAACTGCCAGCCAACTCTCACTCTATCTCCCTTCCTCTCCCTCGCAATAGCAATGAATCATAGCCATCTCTCCGACCCAATGGAAACCCAGTAAATTGGTTTCATCTTAAGGTTGGTACCGGAAGCATTAGAACATTAAATGATCAGGCTGGTTATAGAGTAGTTGAACTCAAAGCGTGTGTGTGTGTGTGTGTGTGTGTGTGCAAATGCAAACATATGAGACGGATTAACAATCTTTGCTGCTGCTAATTACCATGATCACTAGCCCGCCCATCATTTCTTTGGCTAAACAATGAAATTCAATAACCCAACATGATCATAAAACCAACCACTTTCGAAAATCATTGTCCACCAATTGAACCCATTGTTGAAAGCCACCCCTGCAAGGCAATTAAAACAAATCACCCCATACCCGGAAAAAGACTCCACCCTATTAAAGAGGTGGTTTTGTGAAGTACAACTTTGCTGGAAGTTTGGGTAGGCATAAGAGGGTTGAGAGAAACAAAATAGAGAGAAAGATGAGGTAAAGGGTCATGGTACATTAATCATGGAGCAACGATGATAAAAAAAAAATCATGGGTGGTGATAAAAGTAGAGAGAGAAGAGAGATGAGCAAGGTAGGCCAACACCTTCAAAGCATAAATTCAACCAATAGTGCAGCTTACCGTTGGCTCCCTATGAGTAAACAATGGCCTGCGGCAATTGAAGATCCTGTTCAATCAGAATCCATTTTCAAGGATTTGAATTGAGCAAATTGATTCAGAGACAGATTCATCCACTAGGAGATGATGAGAGGAGGGTTGACATGATGTTGGAGCTAATAATTTGAGAATGACAAATGCATCTAAGTGTGTGTGTGAGTGAGTGTGCTCGCACACTTATATTTGTATTAAAATTTCTAAGTGTAGAAGAAGAAATTAGATGGTTAGTCTTGATGGGTCGTCTTCTTTTTTTAAAGAAGAGAGTACCAAAACAATATCATTTAGTCGACGGGCAAACTAGTAATTTGCCATCAGAAGCAACAGCAAACTAACTGTATGTTCTCATTTGCAAGCTTTCAATAGTTTAGGAGGTTTTTTAATTATACTAGGGGTGAATTAGCCGAAAGTTAATATATCGGGTTCTTTATTGCATTTGCATTAACTTAAATATAACAATGTATAATTGACACCGGTAGAGTTTCAGCAGGCAATCACACGTGTGTGTGTGAGAGAGAGAGAGGGAGAAGAGGAGAGAAATAAAATGTCGGGAACCCAGACTCTTATTGAAATTAGAAATTATCTGCATTGTGCTGTTCAGATTATCTTCCTCCAACCATAGGCGTAACATCAACCTATAAAAGATACAACCAGTCAAAAATAACTAATTCATAGTTCAAGTGTTGAAAACAATAATTCCAAGTAAAAAGTTTTAAATTTTTAATACAATTTTGAAAGCAATAAAAAAAATATTTTTCAATTTTTTGATAGGCATATGCAATCCACTACAGGTAAGATGGCTCAACCCACTACAGGTAAGATAGCTCAACCCACGTAAAGGCTACATAAACACAGAGATAAGAGAGAGAGAGCAACAACAACAAAAAAAATCATCATCTCTCCAAATAAAATCAACAAAAGCTTCAGAATAAAAGGCCATTCCCCAGAAAAATAGGGCAAAGGAAACTCAACAGTTTGTGTTTCAAATTCATGATCAACAACTTCATTCCTTCAATTAAGCAGCTGTTGTGTTCCTTCAAAATGCCCACCACGTAAAAAATACTAAACCCTAAACTCTGCATATTCTTCACAAGCTTTATATTATATGTTGCGCAACTCAACTTCATTAATGTGACGCCCCAAATCCCATGATCCGATGCATCAACTGAGTAATCCAAACCGACCTGATATCGAGTCCGAAACGCGGAAGCAAAGACAAGGGAAGAGGCTACTAGAGGCTAACACCACCTCTAGGACAACACAAGAACCTCAGATGAAGTCACAAGGCTCAAATCAAGACAAATGCGGAAGCTAGGAATAAACAGGGTCAAAACAGACATATTGTGGAACTAGGGATAAAATGGTCATTTCATGACAAAAATAGAGAATGGGGTGTATACCAGTGGATAGCCAACGAAAAATTGATAAATTTAGACTTGAGAATGACCTAAATCAGGTTTAAAACGAAAAAGAAATGGCTGTCTAAAGTTGGAGGGTCAAATGCACAAGTGCACAATGCTCGAGCACCGAGGCCCTGAGGATTATTGCTCGAGCCCTAAGGCCGATACAATGACTTTTTCTTCGAAAAAAAGGGTGCTCGAGCACTACTGATAGTGCTCGGGCCCTAAACCCCAAAAAAAGCCGAAAAATCTAGAAAAAGATGGTTAAAGTCATGGGTACCCCCTCGACACCCTACAAGGTCCGAAAGCCATCCAAAATGAAGTATGAAATGAAAAAGAAATACATCAAAGCGCATGGAAAATCACGAGCATACATTTGGATACAAAATGATACTCTAAACATGCATAGGATGGAAATGGCCCTTGGCCTCATTACATCATACTTAAGTATTCAAAGGAGAGTACTAGAGTAGAAATGACTCGAGAACTCACAAAAGAAGTCAACGAGTTCTCCGACCATTTCCTCCCTTCAAAAGGAATTATACAAGGCCTCAAATACAACAGGTTTATGAGGTTACATCAAGACTATCAACTACATTACATATAAATTGTCCCAAAAGAAGTTCAAAGAACACATAGAACATCCACTAAGAGGAAGGAACATCCAAGTAGAGCACTTCTTTACCTGAAAAACATTTATCAACGGGAGTGAGTAATTTGCATTACTCCGTAAGATGATTCATTATAAGGATAACCTAAAGTTTCATTGGCCTCGCAAGAATAACATAAGACATACAAGTGTGGTACATGCCTCCTATGCGTCTAGTTCAAGGGTGAGACTAAGGAATCATCCTAGAACTAACATTGAAATGAAAACAATTACTTAATACAAAATATCCACGTACAAGATAATCCAACGAAAACCGAAATACACCAAGCTACATTTACACATAGGTTGTCAACTTGGAAATCAAATACGAAATCACATAATAGGGATAACTTGGACTCACAGACCCTACCCGATCATGCGCAAGACATGCACCGAGTCAAATAGCTATTCTCGGGCTACTAACCCAGAAGCAAACCTAATGGCCATTATAAATTTGTGGAAAGCTCGTATCTCCCTCACTAGAGCCGTACTTTAGCATTCTCAAAATTTCATTTGTCCCAAGTATCTCCCAAAAATTGTCAATCGTTCCACAATATAAGTCACATAGTCAATGCACATATTTCACCTTTCAAGCGCACATAAATGATAGAACTCAAACAATCCATGCCCTATAGTCCTCTCTACTATAATCATAACATGAACATAAACAAGATGACAAGTAAGCTAACATTGAGATATTTAACACAAGACTAATATCATGCTAGCATTAAAAGTATCTAATACTATAGCAATTCAAGGCTTATAAACATCCACGTAAGGCCATTAAACTAAGAGATGATACATACACAACTTAAGCAAGTCCTAAACATAAGATATAGCAATCTACAAGCATAAAGGTTATATAAGAACAACAATTTGTAATTTCCCAAGTAAGCTATAATAAAACATATCACTTCAATACTTGAATAATGAAATTTGAAAGCTATATAATCATGCTTTTTAAACATCATGTGAACCTAGGGTTGTTAGTAAAATAAACAAAACTCTCCATAATCCACACAACACAAGCATATCAAATGAAATTCTCCAAAACACAAGGAAACACCTAGGTTACAATTATACTACACCCCCTACCTCGCTCTAGGATAGCAACCTAGAGAATCCCAAGGAATGTGTCACAAGCCGCATCCAAGACGAGGGTCTTGTTGCCAATGGAGTCCCCAAGCTTTTTCCCTTCTATGGCTAGGCAAGAAAATCAATGGAAGGCAAGTGAAATCAAGCTCAAAGCTTGGCATCAATGGGGGTCTTTGGTGGGAGAAAGAAGATGAAGTGTAGGAGAATTGGAGAAAGAAAAAGATAAGTGTGATATTTGTCAAAAAAAAAAAATCACGAACACACATTTCTACACTACCTTTCACACACACACCTCAATCCGCCTTACAAGTGTCATCATCCTAGCCTTCCACACAAGTCACAAATCCAACCATACACGTCACCCATCCAAGCCCTACACATGTCACCAATCCCCCTTTAAACAAATGGTCCAATGAAAATGAGACACTTGTCCCAACTTTCCCTTAATTGCACAAAAGTCCCTCCAAGAAATATCTTCAAAAGATAATCGCACTAATGCCCCCAAAATAAAATATCTTCTAAAGATAATCGCACAAAGACACCCAAAAATGAAAATGTCCCCACAACACAGTCGCACAAATACCCCACAAAATATAAGTTAAAATGCATACAAGTGCTATGCAATTCTGTAATGTCATGAGGGTAGAATATATAATGATGAAATGAATGAAGTGTCGGGAGCCATTCCAGAACGCTTGACCTTGTCTTAGGCCCACACAACCCTAAGAGAAAAAAGAAATAAAATAAAATAATAATAATAAATAATAAAATAAAATAAACTCGGTAAAATAAAAGATGACACGGTCATCACAATAAAGCATAATGAATTTAAATTAATCTACGCAAGCTTGAAACAACTAACAACCCAGCAAGGACGTAAACCTTTCTTGAACTAGTTTGAGGTCAGCAATAAGCCCAAGCAAGATATTAACAAGTTGAGCTTGATGGATCCATGATATTTCTTCAGTAGATGTAAGTATCTTGAATATATTAACCATGCATTTCTAGGCACAACTGATGTAGGTTACAAGAGTATGATACAAGGTTACATGTATTGGAAAATATACATAATTGTTAACTTAGAAGCTTAAAGATCCATCCTAAGAAAAGCAAAGGAGAACCTGCCAAGGCACAAGCTATGAAGGGGTTGCTACAAAGTTTCTTTTTCTGCCATGATAAATGACAATATTACAAATTTACAAAGCATTCCAAAACAACTTATACTCTGTAGTCCTGTACAGACAATTCCTCTGTGCTCAATTTGCTATAAAATTAAAGTGAAACATTTTTTTTTTCATCTTCATCGAGCATGCCTCAATCATAACTCTATTCTTTAGACAAGAATCCATGGCTTCACCAAATTCATGATCTTTCTCCACTGATTCCTCTATAACACCAAATCTTCAATAATAGAAAACAACATCAATTACTGAAAGATTTTCCTCCACTGATTTCTCCATTAAATCTTCAATAGGAATTATAGTCATCAGACTCATCACCAAAAGAATTACAATTCTACGTTCTATTTTCCAGACAATAACTTAATTCCTCCCCGCATGGTAAATTAATGCGCACAGGCCATTCCTTGTGCTAAATCATCTTTACATAATTAACAAAAATACCAAAAAAATTTAAAATTAAATATATATTAGATTCTGAAGTAACATATCATGTATCAGTAACTTATCCAAAAATAAAATAAAAAATCATGTATGAGTATGTTTTAGGCCTTGTGTGGTTCCAAATCAGTAATGTTACAACCAATTTGATCCCCCGTCCTTCATCCACATTCACGTCTACGTCTGCGAACCGCGTTGGTTACAACTAAGACAACATCACCAGAAAGCCATAATTAGAAAATAGCACCGCGAGCTTCAATGAAAGACAATCACCAACCCTATTGCCATTGCCACCATGCCACTGCCATTATGAATACTCTCCAATCGCTACCACCCACTGATAACAACTACCCACCACCACATGATCATATCTACGTCATTAAAGCAAACACTGCTGAAACAACCAAGTCTACAATCACCACCTCCAGAGCCATGGAAACACTGAGATTGCACCACCAAATAGTAATCATCACCCCTTCATCATCGTTGTCACAGCTGCCAGTGAGGCAACACTAACACTCACTACCAGTACCACCAGAAAACGCTGAAGCCATCTACCAGCAGTTGCAATAAAATGGCATGAGATTCACAACCACACCACCAATCATAAACTCCCGAGGACCACAAAAACCAACTACCTTTCAAGTGATTTATCAAACTATCACCAATTAATCATTACAAGAATGCTATAATCTTTAGTAAACCAGAAGCAGCATTGGGGCTGACCACGACCACCATAAACACCACCACCATGACCAACTATACAGCAGTAGGAATCATAAAAAATCACCAACCAATCCCCCGGCCCCCCTAATGTCAAGAGAAAATTTAAAAAGGAAAAGAAGAACAAGAAAATAGGTGGCAATGCCTCTAAGCTTTAGCATCTTACCCCCCAATCACCTCAGGATCTCTGCCACTTCACTACCACTACCAACCTGCAGTGACTTTTAACATTACACCATCACTTATGTGTTAGAACACCACTAACCCTGAAAGCTTAAATAGTTAGAAAATGAGCCCAACGATGTATATCAAGCTCTCAACACTCAACACTACCACCACCGACGAAACAACAACTAGGAAGGGCACCTGCAAAATTTTGGAGAATTAGAATTTTTTAGTGACTCGTGCAATGATAACAGAACTGTCATCGCTGCTTCCATAACTCCAGAATCATGGAGAATTAGAAGTTTTTAGTGACTCGTGCAATGATAGAACGAGAATTTAAAACATATAACCCAAGACTATCCAATTTGTACAAATTGAAAATCCCACATTCGGGAAGAAAAAATATCCAGACAGATAACAGTTATCCAAACGAAATACAAGTTAAATGTACAAGAAAACATGAATCATTTATTTCACCCTTTCCCTTTATGCAATATCTAGAACCTAAAAGGGCCAAGGCATCCAAAACTACAATGTCCAACTAAACCAAAAACATTATGAATCTGCGTAATACATCTTTTTCATGAGGAAACCACTCTCCGAAAGCAAATGTACAGAAGAATACATGCCCATCAGTCTCAAAAAATAAGATGTACAGAATCCAAGGTAATCAATCATTTATGTAAAAATTACATCTAAATGATCTAAGAAAGTTGGTACTTTAGAACAGCATTGCTAAGATAATTTATGAAGAAAGATTGAGAACATAATATTAGTCACCATCTGATTTCGAATCTCCCTCCAGGACAAGCTTCACCTCTCCAGATTTTAAGGAATCTATGACATAAGCCAGAAAGTCAGACCACGAGCCCCCAATTCCAATGTTATCCCTCTGCACAGAGGAATACAATCACTAACTGAAAAACATACTCTTAGCACAATTCCAAACAACATCATGGAATTTACTACATCCCACATAAGAGTTTCAAAGATTAGCTGGCCAATGATTCAACCACATGGACATATAGCAGAAATGAACCCAAGAAAGGGTTTGAACGAACTATGATTTAGCCAAAGCCCAACTACAATTTTTCACGCAGACAATCTTTTACCACATTATCTTATCTATAGATGCACCATATAGATATTAAAACGGTGTTCAACCTTGTTTAAATTATTTTAAAAAATGAAAAAACAAATAAAACAAGTAGAAGAGAAGTATAAACCAGCTTAATTTGAGACTCTGTGTGGTTGCAACTTGCAAAGAAAATGAAGGCAAAGAAAATGAAGGCAAAGAAAATAAATATATAAAACAAAAAAATTCAAAAGCTGACCATGTCCTCAAGATCCTGAACAGATCGAATAGCCTCCCAAGTATTGGAGCAGAAATCAGTGACGAGCACTCTGAGCCGAGAAGAGTCCGAAGGATGCACATAGAACAGAAATGGGGGCAGTGAGACCTTATTCGGGGCTGACCACTCTGCTTTGGGTTCGCCGAACATGGGCTCAAAGTCTTGGAACGCCATTGGAGTCAACTAGCTTGTTCCTTGAAGAGCTCTGTAGAAACAACAACAAAGATACAGTTAACTCCAAATGAGGGAGAGTTTTGGGTTAATAATGTAAAATTTGGTATTTGGGTTCAGCTGCAATAGAAGTTAGGGTTTATTATAGAGTTCTAGGTTTTAGAGAAGCAATAGTAATATTATACTCGGCAGAGGAAGCCGTAGCTTTCTAGAGAGAGGATATAGAGAGAATTACCAGGGAGCAGATGAGTATTCAGTGAGAGAAGAGGAAGGAAACGAAAATGACGCGTTGGTGGATTGGAAGGGAAGAAAACGGAGGGAAATGTATGAACTCAAAAAGAAAGTGGGACTATTGGCGTTTCCACTCAGACTCTGTCGTCTGTCACGCCAACAGCTTTTGCTCAGTCAGGAAATTGAATTCCCATTCCCACTTTCTTTGCGGGGAATGTTTCAGCTTCTGGTTGAGGCTTGGAATAGAGAACCGAAATAAAAATCATTTAACATAGGTTTCGATTTCTAATTTCTTCACCTCAGCTTTTCATTTTCATTTATAATTCATTAGTAAACTAAAACCCGAAGAGATAAAGAAGGCAGCTTGGTATAGTGGAAAAAAAATAACAAGAAAGGATTAGATAGGTTACGGGAAGAAAAAAAACAATTGGAGAAATCAAATCAAATGTAGTTGTGTCAACTACTCATGGATAATTAAAATGCTAGCATTTTCTTTCTTTTTCAATTTTTTTTTTTTTTTTGAAAGATAACAAAACTAATTGGAAGGAGCTAAATGTTATTTTATTAGTAGTAGTTTTATTTGTGATTTTTTATTATTTTAGTGTTTTTCTATATTTAAGAGCTTTAATGATAATACGAGTCAAAACCAGTGATTTTATGGATATTCAAGACGTTAGAAGACAATATCCATTGGGCTCATTTACGATGAAGATCTAAGTCTAATTAGAATTAGAAAAGAGCACAAGAGAAGCCACAAGTTGATGACAACAAAAAAAATTCGTTCTTCAACTAGGAAACTCTCTCTAAAATTGGGAACTTGAACCCATTTTGGTATTCTACCTGTATCTCTTTCCTCGAGTGTCAAAATAACTCAATTTTCATGTAAGTTGAAAGGAAATTCGAATATCTACAATTTTGTATTTCACGAAAATTTTGTGAAAATGATGTTTACTATGTCAAAACTGGGCTGAAAGTTAGCATGAATTTTGGAGTCCGAGTTTGACAGAATTTCCATTTATCTCCTATTTGAAAAAGGTAACTTTGGGGCTATTCCTCTCTTATTTATTAAAGAGAGTTCTCTACACCATGAGGAGATCATCATATACAGGAGCTAGAGGCTGACATCTGAAAAAAGAAGGAATTGACCTTTGGCGGCGAAGATGTTCTTCCCAACCATGAAGAAGTCCATTTCAGTCATGAGCGGCTAAAAGCTTTGTTAGGGCTGTGATGTAGCTCTAGCTTAGCACTACTGGTTTGATTGTATTTGTTTATTGGAGAACAATATTTTTCATGCATGATTGTGTAACCTAAATGATTTTTACTTGATTTTTCAATAGAAATCGGTTTTAAAGTTTTAATTCAATTGCAAAGTATTTTCTATCTTGACTTAGGTATTTAATGCTTATGATTGAGCACAACTCATTTACTTCTTGTAGTTGTGAATGAGATAGTTATGCAATGGTTTTTCAATTGAATATAATATTAGAGTTTTGATGGATTATGCTTTGAGAAGATAGATTATACTACACCTTAGAGTAGAGTAGTTAAGGAGATGGTTTATGCTAATCGAAGATAGTCTATATTTAGCTTTAATTTTATATTATCTTCTAGCTGAATTAATATGTGCTTATATCCATGATTAATTTCTTATGCATGTTTCATATCTCTCTAATAAATTGATGCAACTGACTGGTAGTGCGACGTTAGTGGTGAAATCATGTCCTTAATTTCTTCTCTCATATTTTCCTAATTTAATTCAATTATTGCCTTTAATTTAGTTCGTTCGATTAAATCATTATTCCATCATTATTCGTTTGTCATATTTTAAATTTATTTAGAATTTAAGAAGTCTGTTAACAACTTAATTAATATAAGTCTCTTGGGTACAACACCCTTACAAGAAGCCCTATCTGCAAATATTTGTGCACTTGCGAGTAGTTATATCTAAGCTTACAACACTAACACATCATGTATAATTTGAATCATTCCAAATCTTTATGTTTCTTTTCTTTTCTTTTTTTCAATAAAAATTCAATAAAAATTCATATATAATATTTCATTTCCCTCCATTACTTTTCTTTTCTTTTCTTTCTAATACCCTCTCAATAGGGAAAAATCTTGGTTCTTGGTCTCAGCCAAAAATAACTCCATTAGCTATATGCAACTAGTTACACACTCAACTCTCTCACACTCTGCACACACCCTTGTACAAGCTGAACACTAACTTTCATAATCTCTACACACACATTAGCTCAACACAATGCACACGGGCACTCCCCCTGTCCTTACTGATGTGTGTATTATCAATGATAAAAATCACTCGCAATAGGATAGGACTATGTTGAGGGTGTCAAACCTCAAGAATTGTGGTGGATTGTTAAGTATAAAATTAATCCTAATTTAATTCAAGAAAAATACGATTTTGGTTTAGCTATGTCTAAATTGCAATAAAACTAAAAATAAGCCAAATTAACAAGTATTGAGATCAAGGGAGGAAGATCTCAGGGATTGACTTCACCATTAGCCTCATAACATGGTCAATTGCTTCAACTATGGGGAAATTCACATATGTATATTCGGGAATTAAGTGGCTACTACAACCACATATCAATTCAATTAAAGAGATATATATGAATAAACACTAAGCCATAACTCATCTTTGGTTGGCACGCATTGTCTACCTAACTACTCTAATCTAAAGTGCAGTGCAACTTGTCTTCCCTACGTATGAATTATCAAAACATTCATTTACATATTCGTGTAAGCATCATTGCATGATCACTACTTAAACCATTAAGAGAAGTCTTTAGCTGCCAATCTCTCACAATGTAATACCCCTCGATTCCGGAACACAGGTTGGTCAGGTCCGCGTACAAAACCGAGGGAAATATCAAACAATTAATAATAAACAAGCACAAAATACAAAACAAATAAAGAATAAAGAATTAATATCGCAGAAAGGAAAACTAATAAATAAATAAACAAATCTCCTCTGAATAAAATCCTTTAATTCCCAAATATAATTTATTCTCCAAAATACAACTCAGGAATCCTTAAACATGGACCCCTAATAAAAATCCCATAACTGAAATTAAATGACTATTTAAAACTGAAATAACTAATCAGGAGGTAAAATCCTACGTTGATGACACCGAAAGAGTGATGAAACCAAGTCTCTGATCTGCACGAACAATTGCTAATCATGTTACCGACGAGGATCTGAAAGATATAACAAATGTGGGTCAAAACCCATGACCAAGTCCTTTCTACGACAAACCTAAAGAACTATACGTCTATAACTAACTCATGCAATAGTTACATAATCGATAAGTATAAATATATACACTAAAGACTCTCACTGGACTAAGGAAGACTCAACCGGATAGTAAGTACCTCATGCAAATTGCACACAAAGGGGTCACGAGTCCTCTTTCTACCAGGGCACACACATCTTTAAATCCAGCTACCCATCTCAACTAGCAATATATGCCTCCATCCTAACCACTGATTATGAGACCTCAAGCTCATATCATGATACACATAATATCATTATAGATATAACTAACCATATCCTGATAATGGTGTACTAACCAATGACCATACCCATATCCTAACAATGGGTTAGAAAAATATATAAAAATATATAATAGCCATATCCTAACAATGACATGTCATCCATATCCTGACAATGGCATGACATAGAACCACATCCTAACAATGGTTCTCAAATAGTCGACACATATATATATTGTAACGACCCTGGTGATGAGCGTTAAAAAGTGCGTATTTAAACCCCTTAAGCTTAGACATTCTAGTACCTTTATCTATCTTACTTTACCGTTTTAGATTGATTTCGTGCTATTTCTATTTTCAGGCACTTATCCCGAAAATAAGCTAATTCAGCCAAATAAGAGCAGAAATGAAGCAATTCTGAGATGAATCAAAGAAAGGAGCCAAGTGGAAGCAAAAAGAAGAAAAATGTGGAATTCAACTTCTTCGATCGATCTCAGATCAAGGTTTGATCGATCCAACATGATTAATGTCAGCACTTTAAGATGGATCAGAGCCATGATGACATTTTCAGAGATCTCAGAGTTCGATCGATCCAACATCATTCTTCGATCGATTGAACTACCTTATCCTTATCCAAATGATTGATCTTATCTAGTTGTACCACCCTACCAACCACTTTTGTCCTTTTCCCAAAAATATCTTCGAAATATCTCAGATTTGTTTTTATCCAAAAAGCGCCGCCATTAAGGATCGATCCAACTTCAGTTCGATAGATCTTAGCTATGTTCGATCGATCCAAGTCCAAGGTTCGATCGATTGAACTTCCTCCAGTGCAAAAAAGTTAAATTTCTAGCTCATTGAAAGCTGTCTTTATCCAATCATTGGGGAATATTTTGTGCACGACTCCAGCTCATTTTGTGTGTCACTTGACCTACCTATATAAAGAATATGATACACTTTTTGAGGAGGAATGATTAGCATTCTTAGGAATCATCTATCACAATAGAGGCTATTCTTAGGAAGGAAGAAAGGAGGAGAAGGCTAGAGACATAAGCTTGGGAGCTCTTCATCAACCAAGGAGTAGATTTCTTCCATGGAGTTTGCCCTTGAGGGTTGGAGAAGCACTACCATGAGTGGCTAGACATCCTCTTGGGGCTAGAGTTAGCCCCAAGCATGCTTTCTACATCTTAATTTTGTGTATTATTGAGGGATTAGTGTTGTAATACATGTTTTGGCACTTATATATATATAGATCTTGTTTATTCAATGATTTATGTGGTTTAATGCTTCTAATTGATCATTTCATTCTATCCATATGTCTATGTATGCTAGAATAGATGTTCATGTGTTTGTCTCTATTTCTTGTGTTATTGATGCATGTCTATGTGTATTAATGCCATAGATCTAGAGATTGTCAAAACATAGTGTTTAATGGAATGCTCTTGTAATTTTCTTGATGGTTCATGCTCATTTCTTGATGGATTGTGCCTCTTCCTTAGCTTAATTAGTTTAATTTCATTTCTTTAGCTTAATTGTAGTGTAGTGGTAGAATAATTGTTAGATGGGAGGACAATCCATGCTTGTTGTTTGATGTTCCATACTTTTGAATGCAAGTAACATATGTCTTTAACCTTATGGTGTATTTGGCTTGCGAGCTTAATGAAATGATTAATGACTTACTAGATATATTGTGCTTTTCACATGCTATTTAGACAATATATACTTAATTGTTCGATATATTGTGCTTTTCACATGTTGCTTAGACAATATATACTTAATTAGTCACCCTTACTAATTGAATCAACCAAACACACACACACATCAATATTGCAACACACATTTCCCTCA